CGATAAAGCCTTGAAAACAAAGCCATGGGACTTTAGCTAGAGCCATTGAGTTCGATTACTTATCGATTGACGGTACGCAGCGTTAGTACAGCACTAAGGGATCCTACAGAAAACCTCGTGCGTGGACGCAATACATAAGAATAAGGCAAATGTTGATCGGATGGACTTTTGCGCAAACCAATGCCACAGAATAGTTTCAGGGAGCCAGCATTTTGTCAGGGAACACAAAGTAATTACAGAGGCTTTATTGGCTGCAGCGTAAAGGTGTGGACATATCGAAAGGACGTAAAATCAGTACAACGAGCTGTCAGAATTGAAACATGACAATAGCCCAACAACAAAAACAGTGCATAACATAACGAGAAATGTGGGTCACAGAAACTGGTCCAGACCATTGGCGGCGCCGTCATCTAGAATGGATTCATTAAAGGGAATGCGGCGGCGGAAGGCTGCGAAAGGTCAGCGAGGAAGCAGGCTGTTCCGGCCAAGCCCTCGTACAGTGAGAGTGGACAATCGGGTTGTCGGGCCTCCCGTTTGAAGGTTGGAGTTTTCAAGAATTCGGCGAAGGCCATCGCTCGTTGCAAGTAACGGGCCTCGCCGGTGAGACGATAGAGTACGAGTTGGGTGTACCCACTGCCTGCGATACCATGACAGATGCCTAGATGAAAGTGTTCAGAATATTACTAGGTCGGTCAGGGATAGTGTATCGTTCTCTATCTTGTGGCGTAAGGCCACCTATAATACAGGAATGGCGGTAATAGTGGCCTTTTAAGAAAGGAAATGTGGTGCACCGAACTATATAAAAAAGAAAAAGTCGGGCATGCACAAATGTACTGAAAACGTACTTTTTCCGTATAATTCTGTATATATAAGGGAGATCGACAGAGCCTTTTAAAAAGCTATTTATAGATCAATTCTGGCAAATCATGCATATGTTTCAAACCTATATACGTGCATTATATTAATCGTTGTTGTCTACCAAATTTTCGAAGAACATAGTCCCTCGTCCCCGAAAACAATGGCCTACGGCCACCCGTAATATGGAACTGCTTTTTATTACAGCAAATGAGGTATCCATAAGGGTAAAAATAAAAAAAATAATGGTTAGGTTGCATGCTTGCTCTACTGCATTAAAAGGGCATTTTGTAGCAACATTGTTCGTGGGAAGTACGCATAGTCTTGCCCAAGCAAGCATTTTTCAAGTTCTGCAAACTAAACCCGAAATAATAAATATGTTGGGAGGACTTCATGTATAAATCTAATTGGCAAACCAATACAGAGCGTCCGCTGAAATAATGGGTTTTTCCAGGTAGGGCAAAAGATGGCGGTAGATAGAATACCTGGAGAGTAAAAAGAGCTAAATGCAGCAATGGCACCCGTAACATTATTTAAACATTCCAAAAGGGCTTACAGAAAATAGCGCCCAAATCAAATAAC